AAAATTTGGGAAATGTTGAATTTCGCTGATTAAAAAGCCAAAACTACTGTACCTATTTTTTAGTATTGAAAAATGCAGTCATCTAATTGCTTTAGTTCCCCATCTAGTCACTTTTTAACATCACAATCCGGCTGAGTTGAAACTGCAAAAGTAAAGGAGAAATTTGACCAATTCTTCCTAGCCAAATGAACGTTTGCCTACCCATAAGTAAATCTTCCTTTACAAGCAGCTGAAATTTGAACATCCATATGCCCTGGCTGGTACCATCCGCATTTTATAACAAATATGTAGGACAAGTCATATTTTTTCCAATTTTGATGGAGAGACTTACTTAAAGCAAGGAAAATACTTTAAATAAACACATTAATTCTATAGAACGATAGTGATTATTTCAAACCAATTTACCAAAATATTAGTACCCAAAAAACAGCTGAACTAATAAATCTATAAAGAAGCTATTTAGTTGTCAAAATCCACATAAGCAGAGCTTTTCATGTGAGGTCAGGAGAGTGTAAAATATCAATTATAAATTGAACCATTCCATTGCAACAATGAGACATCGAGATTTTGCCAAAGGACTTAACAGCGTTATTTTGCGTGCAGAATCGCCTTTGAAAATTTCTTCTCGCATCGTTTATAGGTTGCAGGCAGGTGATAACTTCGCACAAATGCTCATATTGTTAAGTAGTTTCAAAGAACTACGCGTCGTAAGCTACCTGAACTCCATTGAACAAGAAGGAGCAAAGCACGCAGCTTTATAATAAAGAACAGTTCTTTGCCACAACCAAAGTTCACCATTTAATTTAATAGTGGCCAGACCAAAATTAATCTAAGCAAGGAATTTTTATAGCAACTAACTTTTGTAATTAGTATTGTTTGTCGTCGATGTCACCTGGCAGGCGAGCGAATTTTAATAATGAAATCTAAGAGGTTATTAATCGCACGATTCTTTTAAATAGAGATGATGACATTCATCTCGACAGAACTTTTTCGCAAAACGATAAAACCGGAGTAAACATGTTCGAGCTAATAATATCACTCATTAGCATATCAAACCTGTTCATTTCGTTATTGTAACACTCCAAGTATAACTAGCGGGATTAAGTTAAGTCTCTTTGTATCTGGGTTTTTACATGAACAGCCCAAAAACAGTCAACGACCCGAAATTATAGTCACTAATTCTTCGTTAACTCTACCGGTGTATGCAAATGACTTAGTAATAATTACGCAATAAACAAGCTTGATAGGGGATCGGAGGAATAACTAAAAATGGCATAATAGGATTCTAGAAAAATAGATGGCTAACAACGCTCTAGCTCATTAAATATTCGAGCATCTCCGGTTTCGTAATTTTTTTGATACTGAAATTAAATGAATGCTCTAAAGTGTTAATATCCTTACGCTGCTGAACCTGAAATATGTAGCAAAGTTCCCCAGACAAAAATAAAAAGCCAATTGGAAGCTGTGAAGGAGCCTCAATTATTCAATCCCGTTAACTACAGCCAACTGATCGGAAGTAAACGAAGTAATGCACAAGTAGCATCGAGATTTGATGCCGATATAGAGTGTGTTAAATCAATATTCATTGATTCAACTTACCTGAGTCATTTCGTTCCTGTAGAATGACTAATTACTTCCCTTTTTCAACCGGCCGTTGATTCGCAATTTAAAAAATTATTTAGAAGTCACATCTAATTGATTATTTGATGCGAAACAAAGCACATTTCCAGTAAAATGCTTGACCCAGAAAAATTCGGGGCACCGAAAACAACTTCAGTAAAATTGAGATTTAACTTTGGCCATATCGAAACTATCCGCAAAATCTCTTGGAAACCAAAACAAAACGATTTGCTTCTAATATGCTCAAAATCGTTCTCAATTTGCTGGAAGTAAACGCGATGGGAATATTTGGATAAAGCTGCCAACATTTCTTCAAACTGTTGCTCACTGATGCGATTAGCCGAAAAAACAGTGGAACGTTTGTAAGTAAATTGATTTAACCAGATACAAGTTGTTTACAGCTTCAATAAACAAATCATTTGGTTTTTGCGCTTGTGCTTTCGAAAGAAATGCCACTGATTAGGCAGGCAGTCATTTGAAACATTTTTTTTACTTTGGTGTTATTTTATGTGTAGGTGGACAATATTTGTAATTTTGCAGCATTTTTAATAGTTCCAACAAAGCTAACAGTACAAAGGTGATCAAACCTTAAATGAACTTGGAAGTGAAAAGGCTAAACAAATAAACGATCAAGGCAGAAAACAATTAAATTTAAAGACATTGGCTTCAATATACTTGCAGTTATAACTGTATATTTGCAGTCAATCAATCAATACGAGCCTGGAAGTTTACTCGTGTATCTTCAGTTAATATCACTGTTTCACTATCAATTATCTCGTTGCTCTCCGTCAGAACTGAACTGTGTTGATTTATGCACCTTGGAAAAATTGCTCAGCACTTAACTGCAATTATTTTTAGAAATCCGCATCAACTTGGTGAAGAATTAGGAAAAGCGGCATTTTGGACCCGCAGCGAATAGCTGAACTAGATTTCGCGACAAAGCCCAATTATAAATAAAGACTATCAGTAATAATTGGTTGTCAGCTTCTACTTTTACTGTGTGAAATCTTCCTTTCTAGACAAAATAAAACAAAATAATAAAAAACAAGTCAGCAAATTTTAAAGCGTTTTGAAACGAACACTACTTCACTTGATCAACGATTCATTTCAATTCAA